TGCCCACCCTCGTGACGATGAGCTTCCTTCCTGACAGCCCTGTGGGGTTCAGGGCAAGGAGACCAAGCAGGAGGTCTGCATGGCCAGGAAGAACTTCAACAGGTCACAATTGCCAGATCATAAAGGAGAAGATTGAGTGATTCACCTGCATTAAAGTCAAGAATATCTATTCATAAAAAGGAGCCATAAATTGGGAGGAAATATTAGCAATACAAATAGCCGAAAAGGATTCACCACATGCTATCCGAGACTAACCCTTCAGGTGTGCACAAGGAGCCTTCCACCTGGTGTCTATTCAAGGACCTCACGCCAGCAGTTGTTCCCACCTTCTCCTGGATCATGCTCATCCGCTCATTATAATATGATAGATCTAAGAATTTAAAAAGCACACCTGGCCAGGTACCACCTTCTTTATCTCTCTGAATCCAACAAAACTCACCAGAAGAATAGTCTGACTCTGTCTCCCTGTCTCCCTTAAATTCACACCACTACAGATGAACTCTTATCAGAGTCACATGTTGCCAGTTCCAGTGGCCATTTCTCAGTTGTCATCTTACTTTTAACTTTTTTTATTTTTTCATCTTGTCGACCAAGAGTCTTGCTCCGTTACCCAGGCTGGAGCAGTGTGGCACGATTGTAGCTCACTGCAGCCTCAGACTCAGGGGCTCAAGTGATCCTCTGACATCAGTTTCCTGAGTAGTGAGGACAGCAGGCACACACCCTCAGGCCCACTAATTTCTAACTTTTTTGTAGAGATGGGTCTTGTTGTGTGGCACAGGTTGGCTTCAATCTCCTGGGCTCAGGCAGTCCTCCCACCTCAGCCGCCCGAGTAGCCAGGACTACACACGTGCTCCACCACAGCCGGCCCCTATTCCTTCTACTTAACCTAATATTGATCCCCGCTTCCTTTCAGAAACACACTGTTTACCTGGGACACTGAATTTTCTGTGTCATCTCCCTTCCTCTCTGGCTATTCCTTCTCAGGTGGCTTTACGGGTTCCTCCGGCCTCCCTGACCTCTGAACAGTGCAGGACCCCGCGCTCAGTCCCTGGTCCTCTCCTCTGCGGTGTCTACACTCGCTTGCTAGGTGAACCCCTCCTGCCTCCTGTCTCCCTGATGATGACCCCTAGATGCATGGCCTCAGCCTGCACCTCTTTCATGAATTCCAAGACCTATAACCAACAGCCTGTTCAACACCTGCCCTCAAGCAGCAAATAGACATCTCAAATGTAACATGTGAAAAATCAAACCCCTTATGTTCCGTTCCTCTCACAGCACCCCCCACCTCAAAATACGACAGCTCCGTCCTTGCAGCTGCACAGGTCAAAAATCTCAGCATTATTTTTTCTTTTTCTTTTTCTTTTTTTTTTTAATAGAGATGGGGTCTTGCTATGTTACACAGGCCGGCCTCAACTGAACTCAACAGTCCTCCCGCCTCAGCCTCTCTGAGTACTAGGATGATAGGCATGAGTCACTGCACCACTCTCAGCATTATTTCCGATGCCCATCTTTCCCTCATGCCCCAGCCAATTCAGCAGGCACTCCTGTTGACTGTAATTCCAGAACATATGTAGAAATTGACCACTTCACACCAGTCCCACCACGTCCACCCCAGACTAAGACATTGTTCTCTCTCCCTTGTATCACATGATTAGCCTCCCAAGCCTTCTCCATTCTTCTTTCCTGACCTCCCTGCAGTCTGTTCAAGAAGAGTCCTTGAGACAGAAGCCTCCTCTCACTCCCCTACCCAAACCCCTGTGGTGCCCCACCACGTCACTCAAAATGAAAGCCAGAGTCTAGTACCCTGCGTGATGGAGGCCCTGATCCTTCTCCTCCCTCCTCTGCTGGGTCTCTCTCCCAGGCTCTCCCACACTCCAGCCTTTCCTCAGGTCCCCTGCCCTTCCTATTCACTCTTCCTTGATGGCTCTTGTGTACGAGCCTCACCCTCTTACTCTGTTCAGGTCTTTGCTCAAATATCACCCCTTCAGGCTTTTCCTGACCCTACAGCTCCCTCTCCCTCGCTCCCACCCAGCTCTATTTTTCTCTACAATGCACAGGCACATTGACACACTCTATATTTCCTCTAAATGTGTCTCTTTGCTCTCTGTACTGGGATACACGAGGAGAGGGACTTTGTTTTGTTTGCCGCCATATCCCAGAACCTAGAGTAGTGCCTGGTGTAGAATAAACACTCCGTTTCTCAAACAACTTACATAAATATTTAAAGAAGTTCTGCATATTATCAAAAACGACAGTAGAAAATAGGCAAAAGACTTCAAACTGCATGGGGAAGAGACACAAATGGCCAAGAAACATGAAAAAAATGCTCCACTTATTTGGTAATCGTGGAACTCCAAACTAAAACCAGCGGTTTATGCCTTTTGTGCCCACCAGAGTGGCAATTAGCAAATCAGGTGAGGTGAGGAGGTGCAACATCTGAATCTATATTCACTGTCAATAGAAGGATAAACGTTTACTGTTCCTTTTTAAAACCTTTCTACATCCTATACACAACATCTTCCATCACGTGACGTTGGAGATACATTCTGAGAAATGCATCCTCAGGGTCTCCTTGTTGTGTGAACATCATATAGCAAACTTACACCAGCCTAGATGGTACAGCCTACTGCACAGCTGGTTTGTAATGGGATAGCTTGATTGTTCCTAGGCTACAAACCTGTGCAGCATGTGACTGTACTGAATACCGTGGGCAATTGTAACACAGTGGGAAGCATTTGTGTGTTTAGACATATCTAAACTTAGAAAGGGTCTAGTAAGATATGGTATTATCGTCTTATGAAACCATTTGTGTGTTTAGACATATCTAGAAAGGGTCTAGTAAGATATGGTATTATCGTCTTATGAAACCACCCATGTATACGCAATCCATCATTGACCAAAATGTCCATATGCAGCACGTGACTATATACTTACGACCTAGCAGTTCCATCCTGGGCTTTTATGGATTGGAATCCAAAGAAAGGGTACAAAAAAGAATCATAGTAGCAGCAATATTTGTGATAACAAACACCCAGTGGAAGTAATTTGACCACGTTCTACCACCCCTACCATGTCCACCCCAGACTGAGACATCAACATGGGGATCTCATGTTGAAACTTGATCCCCATCGTTCTATATGCCACACAATGGAATATCATATGGCAGTGGAAATCAGTGGGCCTCGGCAGTAGAATTCTCCATGGAGGACTCTCTGGAACACAGTGTTAGGCAAGAAAACTAAAGCAAAGCACAGAGAATACAGTGTGATTCCACTGCTGTGATGTTTAAGGCCTGAAGACCTAAACTATATGCTGATTATACACACACATACATATAGCACACACCTATAATGCATATTATAAAAAACATAAAGGGATGATAAGCCCACATTGATAGTAGTCTATTGAGAGAAAGGAAGGAGTCAGGGGATCTTCAAAATTACTGAAAATGTTCCAGTTTTAAGCTTATTGTTGAGTATACTGTTATTTCACCTTGCATGTAGTATAAATATTTTTACACATTCAATATTTGATTTAATATTTTAAAGAATATTTAATATTTTAATGAATTTGCTATTTTAAAGAATATTTAATTTAACATTTTAAATTTTGAAGAATCCCACTATAAACATTTGGATAGAGCTGTTTAACAGGAGGAGGACTATTTCCTGGTGTTGAACTATTCACAGGGCAAAAAAGGGCCCTCACCCTTCCCACAGTTGGTGAGATTCTCAAACCGTGATTACTGAGAGATGGTGTCTAAAGGGCCTCCTATAGAGCAAGGTAGGAAAGAATCAGAACAGAAGAGAATAGATCAACCAGGTGGTACATTTTCCAGTGATGCCCAAGGGCTACCTGTGCTAAGTTGACAAAAGTACCTTTTTTCATCACTGTACATCCTTCCTCCAGTCCAGTGTGTCCCAGCCCCCACCCACCCAATGAGGTCTGCATGCTGCTCTCTCTCTTCAGATTCCAAAAGCTGGCACCCCTTGGTGAGTTGCAGAGCATGCTATATTTCTATCTGCCATAGTTTGGATATCCCCTCTAAATCTCATGTTGAAATTTCATCCTCATTATTCAATTGGGGCTTAATGTTAGGGTCATGGGGGCATGAATAGATTGTGAGGTGTATGTGTTGTCACCCTATCAGTTCCCATGAATAGAACCCTTGGATTTGATGGGAGGTGTTAGGGTCATGGGGGCATGAATAGATTGTGAGGTGTATGTGTTGTCACCCTATCAGTTCCCATGAATAGAACCCTTGGATTTGATGGGAGGTGTTAGGGTCATGGGGGCATGAATAGATTGTGAGGTGTATGTGTTGTCACCCTATTAGTTCCCATGAACAGAACCCTTGGATTTGAAATGTGTGCATTCTCATGCTATTCTCCTAAGAGCTGGTTGTTTAAAAAAAGGCTGGCCCCTCACTCTTCTCTCTTGCTTCCTATCTCACCATATGATCTTGGCACACGCTGGCTCCCCTTCCCCTTCTGCCATAAGTGGAAGTTCCCTGAGGCCTCACAAGAAGCAGGTGCTGGTGTCATGCTTCTTGTATAGCCTATGAACCATGAGCTAAATAAACCTTTTTTCCTTATAAATTCCCCAGCCTCAGCTATTCCTTTATAGCAACACTAAATGGACCAAAACACTAGCCTTCACGTCTTCCTCAAAGCCCACAAACCCATGCCATTGCTCACTTGCTCTCCTAGGACAAACTTAGTTACAAGGATTAAAAATTCTCACTATTGTATGAAGACTAATACTTCCTGATTAATACTTTCATTCTTACATGTGGATTTTGTTTTCATTCATTTTGGCCATGCAAAATTTTTGGCACAACCCCACCACCACCACCACTTCAATTCCTCCCACGCCAAGAAACCATCTCAGAGTCTCCTGCCAGTGAGTCATAAAATCATCTTGGCTTCAGAAAGGCAAGCCACCAGCCGGAGAGGGTCCGCCCTACCAACTTTATAAAGCAATTCTCGGATTATTTTATCTTCTCAGAAATAAAAGAAATAAATAAATCTATCGCTGTTTACATATTGAGGGGTATGTGGTTGAGGCATGGCCAGGGACACAAAAGAATAATTTTAAACTAAATTAAGCATTTCATTGTGTTCATCTATGACACAATGCAGCTTTTAGACCACAGTGCTGCCGTTCTGATGACATTCACTTCACCCTCATCCTACAGAGTCCTTGGAGAAACTGGTAATTGCTCACAAAGCTCATTGCACATTCTGGAGGTCTGGGCCGGTCCAGCCCTTCTCATCGTGATGAATGGACATTCTAAGCTGAGATGAGAGCAAAGCCTTTTTGCGAGACAAAAAGGCAACTGGTTGTTTCAGGCGTCACTCTTGAAGGATGTTCTGTGTAACAACTTGCAAGACCAAATTAGAACGATGCCTGCCTGATGCGGGGCTTGTCAAGGTGGGAGGCAGGTGTTGCAGTGGCCCAGAACAGGCAGGCTGGATGATGCTGCTCAAAAGTTGCCCTCATCATGCTTATAGGAGGTTCAGTGTTGACCAGTGACAATTCCTTGCCTGTTGCGATATGGGAAAGCATGGTCTCCTCTGGGAAGAAGGGATCGTCTTCTCTTCAGCAACACAGCTCCAGCAGCAGAATAATTGATTGTAGGCAATAGCCTAAGTGTGCACTTCTTGGGTTCTAAAGAACCCATTTCCTGTGGAATTTTATTGCAGAGTTAAAAATTGGATGAAGTTCAAATCATAGACTTTCTAAAATAGTAAGAGGCTAGCTGTAAATTTAAAGCTGTGTGGGAAATATGAGTCAGTTGAGTCCATTGGGTGACCCCAGTGGTAAATACTGAGATAGACTTTCTATGTAGGTTTATTCCTGCTGTTGTCATGAAGGTCTGGGGAGGCACCAGAACTGAGCAAAAGGAAACTTATTTTAAAGCATATACAGGTCACCTACAGTATGACGAGTCAGTCTTCTCTATTTTCACATAGTTAAGAAGTCCTTGAAATCTTGTTGTTGAACTCCCGTGGAGACTAGTAACACAGACACTGAAAACAGAATTATTAGTAAATGTCTCACCTTCTCTGGTTCAGAGTTTCTTCCTTTTGCAAAAGAGAAATCACGCTCTTTTACCTTTGATTGAAAAGGTGTTTTTGAGGTCCCTTCAGACCCATAAGGGAAAGTGTAAAAAGTGCCATAAAATGTAAAATGTTATTTATTATACACTAGTGCTATTTAATAATAATACTTACCTAAAGCAAAAACTTCATTCATCAGAGATTTGTGTCTCAGATATTATCGTATCATGAATAGAATTTGTACACAAAGAAAAACTAAAATACTACTAGGAAATCAATCTGATACCATGATCCCAATGAATAATGGTAATTCCCTGACCTTCAATTAATGAGTGTAGGGATTGAGCTCCATTTAAGAAATGAGTGAAGAAACAAGGCCAAACGCAGTGACTCATGCCTATAATCCCAGCACTTTGGGAGGCCAGGGTGGGCAGATTGCTTGAGTCTGGGAGTTTGAGACCAGCCTGAGCAACATGGCAAAACCCCATCTCTACAAAAAAATACAAAAATTAGCATGGTAGAGCATGCCTGTAGTCCCAGTTCCTTGAAAGGCTGAGGCAGGAGGATCATTTGAGCCCAGGATGTGAAGGCTGCAGTGAGCCAAGATTATGCCATTGCACTCCAGCCTGGGCAACAGAGCAAGACCCTATCTCAAAGAAAGAAAGAAAGAAATGCATGAAGACAAGAGGCAGAGAGTGATAAAATCCATTCATATTTAAGAATCCAGCTGGGCATGGTGGCTCACACCTGTAATCCCAGCATTTTGGGAGGCCGAGGAGGGCAGATCACGAGGTCAGGAATTCTAGACCAGCCTGATCAACATGGTGAAACCCTGTCTCTACTAAAAATACAAAAATTAACCAGGTATGGTGGTATGCGCCTGTGATCCCAGCTACTTAGGAGGCTGAGGCAGGGGAATCACTTGAACCGGGAGGCAGAGGTTGCAGTGAGCATAGATTACACCACTGCACTCCAGCCTGGGCAACAGAGTGAGACTCCATCTCAAAAAAAAAAAAAAAGAGTCCTTAGCTGTCTCTCTTAATGGAATATTCTAGAACTATGTATACTTTCCAGAGTATGGAAAGTAAGAGTAACAGGAGGGCAGGGGCTATTAGTGAAACTTTTCAAAGGTGACAGGAAACGATACCTAAAGCATTCCAGAAGTGGAGAAACTCACTTCAACCACGGACTGTAAAATCAGAGCCATTAAGAAGTAGCACTTCCAGAACGTCCTTGCATGTATACTGTTGGAGTAACATCTTCATCTGTGATCCTCCCCTGTATTTGAAATTGTTCTGACATAGGTTGGATTGGGATTGTGAGGTGAGGGTATACACATAGACAATCCAGCTGCCTTCAGATGAGTCATGAAGGAAGTCGAGAGATGGATGAGGACTTGGCCTCGGTGCTCTTCAAGATCCCTTCCACCCTGGAGAGTCTGTGTCCTGTAACTTCCTCAAAGAAGCTTTATTGCTCTTTCTGATGATGCTTCTAGAACAGCATTGGGTCTTTCTTAAATCTCACATTTCCCCCCCCACTTTTTTTTCCTATCCATGATAGTGACCATTCCCATATAGGCTTGCTTTCCAAATGGCATGCTGCCTGGTTCCACGTGCCCTCTTAGTGGGTGGCTGCCTGCCCCTGTTTTTTGTTCTCTCGTCTAGCTGCTGTCTCTCCCAGCCAGCATGGACAGCAGGCTCACTGCCCGTGATGTGCCATGGGGTCAGCACCACATCAGAACTCTCAAGTAAACTTGGAAGCCCTTGTAGGACGGTCACGGTCCCTGGGCTTTACTAATGAGGCTGCATGAAGTGCCTGTCTGGTCAACACTACTCGGGTGCCTCTCTTGCTTTTCTCTCACCTTTTCCTTGTATTCCCTAATCCATTATTAAATCGTGTGTGCATTATGTCATCATCTGACACCTGCTGCATTCAGGGAATTGCCAGCATGGGCTCTGTCCAGCTGTTTCTGCCTGATTCTCTGGAGTTGGTCTGCCTACCTTCAATGCATTGATTGGAATCATTATTTCCAAACCCAAATGTCTGACTGCCAGCTGTGTCTACTTATTTACACTATCCCTTGTGCCAGCTGTTGCCTATAAGTCTTCAGAACCTTGGCGATGGCTTTCTTTGACTTTCTTTATTGATGACTGCCCAGAAGGTTCACACCAGTGTGAGCGGTGCAGGGGGTGGAGAGGGCACAGGCCCAGGAAACACCCCTCTCGTGGGCCACCCTGCAATTCCAGCCATCCATCCTGCCCCACCGTCTGGAGTAGCCAAAAACCTAGGTTTGTGCTCGGCATTTTTCAAGAGGCAGCAGGAAGGCCAGAAACACATCCTGCTGTCATGAAACATAACTCCATCTTTCAGGGTTGTGAAAATTTGAGTTGTAAGTTTTGTGATACAGATAAGTGATGCAAAGCTTCACAAGAGGTCATGCGGGGCTAGACGCCTAGGAACCCTTCAGAAGGATTGCGACAATTCATCATACACAAGGTGTTGAGGGTCTGGAACTGGGAAGGAATCCAGGGGGCATCTGAACAGAGAAATGGGGACTTGATGGAGGATTCATGAAATGATTCCGAGGACACTTGAGGGCTTTGGAGGAATACACACAGTCCGGGAAGCCCCCTTGTAGGGGGTGCCACAGCCCAGCTCCTGGAAGCATCCAGATGAAGCGAAAGGTAAAACTAAACAGCAAGAGTGACTGTGGACTCATCACATGCTGCACATGGCAGCATTTGTGTACAAAATAGGCCACTTGCTAGGAGAGAGTGTTTTCGTTAAAAAACCATTCACATACATTGAACTCTACTTTTAAAAGGTAAAACAGATGCAGAATAGGTTATTCATGGTCTCCATAGCTTGATTCTTAAAAATTTGTGGGCGGTGAGATGCTGATAGTTCTCAGGGAGAAATGTGAACATTAGTCCTTTTTCTTTTTTTTTTCTTTTTTTTTTTTTTGTAGGTATAAAAAATAAGAAAAACTCTCCAAAAGTTGTGACAGAGTAATTTCAGAATATATTGCTAAATAAAAAAGCCAAGGGAGGAGAAACAGGAATGCTTATTTGCTGCTGGTGGGAATGCAAAACAGTACAGCCACTTTAGATGATAGTTCTAATTAAAACTTTAGATGATTAGTTTAATTAGGACATTAGTCCTAATTAAAAGTGTCCTATTGGAATTTCTGGACAGCTGGAGAACAAACACAAAAGTCTTAATTAAAAAACCATTTTGTGAGGTATTCAACTCCTTCTCCATTTCACCAACACACTGCACAGTCTGTGTATTCAGCGTCACAAAAGAGATATTTAATTCATCGGCCTGGTTTTTATGGATTGTTCTTCATCTTCTCAGTGCTGTGACACGTAGAGACACTGGTATAGTCATTAGGAAGAATGGGAGAAGATACCAAATGGCATAACACATGGTCTGGTATTTCCAGGGAAAGGATCATCCATTTAGGAAAACAACTACATATAGACATGTTAAACATTACAAAGAAACTCGTGAAATTTCACAGAAAACAGCCCATAATCAATTGTCAAGTGGGATCCCTGGGTAGGAACTTCAGGCAGAGGAATATCTGCGATTGAGCACACCACAGCCAGGGCACGAGGCACCAGGGCTCCCTGCTGACAGTAAGATAAGGCACTTCTCTGCTCATCTCCTAACCAAACTTGGGAAAGCCATCCAAGCCAACGCAAGTTTGATGGTGCAGATTCCAGCTGCTGAGGAAGAACACCCTGGCTGATGACTTTGCCCCTAGTCCCTGTCCATCTAGTCCTCACAAACATGAATCTTCAATGTTACATACAAAAGCAGACAGAATTCTGCATTTCAGGGACCTATTTCTGTCTTATGAATGGCTTGCAGCCCTGGAGTATGTCAAAGAACAAAAAATGGCATGCAGAATACTAGAAAGGGATTTTATGTGCATTAAATGAAAACGAACGAGTTCTCCATCAGTGCCCTGCTTCTTTCTTCATATGCCCCATCCCCACCCACCCCATCCTATTCCAGACCCTCACCACCTTGTATTGCAGCAACGCTTCTGAAAGCCTCCCTCATCCAAAAATCCAAAATCGGAAATGCTTCAAATCTGAAGGTTTTTGAGCACCAACAAGACTCAAGTAGAAAATTTCACACCTGACCTTGTTTGATGGGTCACAGACAAAATGTAGTCAAAACTTTGTTACATGTATGAAATTATTTTAAGTATTGTAGAAACTTGCCCTCTGGCTCTGTGTACAAGGTGTATCTGAAACATAAGTGGTTTTCTTGTTTAGACTTGGGTTCCATCTCCTTAGATAATATCATTGTTTATACGCAAACATTCCAAAATCAAAAAAAAAAAATAGAAATTCAAAACACTTCCGGTCCCAAGCATTTTAGATAAGGGATACTCAGCCTATATCTCATTCATTAAGTAGGATTCCTTTAGATACCAATTTCATTCCCCTAAATTCCCTATTGTATGTCACCCCTAGTTTAGAGAACACAGATTCTTTTCTCAGTATTGCAGAGACAGAGGGATGCTCAGAACTCCTACATCAGCTGAGTTAGATAGGTAGGTAGGTTTATAGGTAGGTAGGTAGGTAGGTAGGTAGATACACACACACACACACACACCCCACTTATACAGAGATACACACACACACGTCACTCAGGTCCTGACTTCAGATAGCCAGTTTGGCCACAGTATGTTCTCCAACCAGGTCAACTATGATAAATGAGACATCATTTGTAAGTATTGAAAAAATACACATATATATGGCACAGAAGATGCTGCTGCTCCTACTAGCTAAGATTTATGTAGTATTTATATGTGCCAGGTACTATTCTAAGTACTATGCACATATTAAATAATGTAAACCTAATAAGAACTCAGTGCAGTAGGTACGTTTATTTTCTTCATTCCCATGTAAGACTGAGGCACCAACAGCCTTCATCCTTTGCCCAACACAACACAGCT